GTTCGGTTCCCGGTACCGGAGAAAAAAAAAACGAAAAAAAACAAAAAAAAAAAAAACAGGTGTGCAGCACTACATCTGGCTGAAATTTTCTTTATGAAGAAGGCTGGCTGGGCATGGTGGTGTAGCCTGTAATCCCAGCACTGGGGAGGCTGAGGCAGGAGGATTGTTGCAAGTTTGAGAACAGCCTGGGCTACAAAGTGAGCTCAAGGCCAGCCTGAAATGCAGTGAGACCCTGTCTCAAAAAAGACCAAAAAAAAAAAAGAGATGTCACATGACAGCCAATAGAGGTACAAAGACCTGCAAAATATTTGCAGATAAAAGGTTACTGTCATTTTTGGTTTGTGAATTATTCATAAGATTGTTTAAGGATTTTGAAGAATCAAATCTGCTGTGTTATGGAAGAAGAATATTTACTTCTTACTTTAGATCGTTTTGTACTATAAGCATTTTTTTACCATATGTAAATTTGTACTTTTATTTAAAATATAAAAGAAAAAATAAAGCACATTTCAATTACCTGCATGGGATGGCTGGCCAGGCACTCCTAGCATAGAAATCTCTTACCTTGGATTAATCTCAACATTAGTGCCTGCCAACAAATGTGTACTTTTTCAAAACAAGATGGGTGTGGCGGTGCACACCTGTAATTCCAGCAGTCGGGAGCTGGAGGCAGGAGGATGCCATGAGTTTGAGGCTAGCCTGGGCTACATTGTGAGTTCAAGGCCAGCCTCCGTTACATAGCGAGACCAGTCTCAAAGAAAAGCAAACAAACAAAATAATTTAATTACATTAAAACAGAAAATTGGTTTCTCTTCCTTTCCTTTGCTCTGGGATCAACCAGAAGGCCTTGTACATGCTAAACATGTGCTTTACCATGGAGCTACACCCCAGGCCTGAAATGAAAAAAAAATCTTTAAATCTTTGGTTTCTCATAGTAAATTCCTATCAAAATATCAAAATCATTCAGGAATCTTGATTCATAGAACTTAACATTTTAGCTTTACCTGTAAATCACAGAAGATGTATCATATCAGCCCAGAATTTTGAAGTGCTTTTTCAATGTTTTTACTGTTTTTACAGATATTTTTATACCTCCCTTTGCTTTTTGGGTTTTTTGTTTGTTTGTTTGTTTGTTTTGTCTTTTTGAGACAGGGTCTTGCTATGCACTTCAGGCTAGCCTTGAACTCACTTTGTAGCCCAGGCTGGTCTCAAACTCACAACGATCCACCTGCCTCAGCGATCCACCTGCCTCAGCCTCCCGAGTGCTGGGATTACAGGGGTGCGCCACCATGCCTGACGCCATACCTTCTTTTGGAGAAATAATAAAAATAATTCTTTAATGAAAAAATTAAATGAAATTACTGTTGTGCTGAGACCCACACAGTCTTGAGAGGAAGCAACAGAAGATTAAAAAAACTATAGACACATACTAAGAGGAAAGCTGAGACCAGGTGGGACCTGACCTATCTGATGGAGAGGCAGTGACAAGCCAGCACGGTCTGCCTCTTTATTTATACACTGTAAAAAGCAGGAGAAGCACGTGACAGGACCAAAATTACAAGGTCTTAGTGTTTTGCTGAGAACACTGAAAGCAAAACATAATGTTTCAGTGTTCTCAGCGAAACACTCTCAGAGCTATCTGTGCTGTAGTTAACAGGGAAGAACACCAAGTGCAGACACCTGCTGGGCTAGCGTCGCTCCAGTCCCAACAATGTGTTTACGTGGTGGCCCTCTGGAGCTCTGTGTTCTCCGCGCTGGCCTTGCTCTAGCCCCAGATGTGTGGTCCATCTCCAGCTCAGCCACTCTCCACAGAGATTATACTGTTTTTTTGTATGTTAACACTAAGTCCTTTGGGTTCTATCCCCAGCATTACCAAAAACATTTTACAAGGCTGAAGTACCCCTTTAGTACAGTTTGTAAACAGCCATAACTTTAAAAACAGAAAATTGAAGGATGCACGCTGCTTCTGATGGAGCCACAGATACAAACCTTGCCCTTGTGCTATCACTGAAACCAGCGTAAGAGATTTCCAGAGAAATGTGCAGGGCCACGCAAAGATCTGAGAGGTGTATCTGGGGAAAACAAGCAGTGAGTGCAGCCTACAAATAATGCTGTTAGTCAACTAAATTCAGAGGCAAACCAAAGGGAAGCAATGAGTTTTACAGTTTGATAAATTTTAATCCTTTAGAAAAACTTCTTTTTTGACATCAAGTCATATTTACATGCAGATGTTCACACAAAGCTTACCTATCCATAAATATATTTAAAAGAAAACTAAATGTTGACTCAAGTCCCTTTCAGTTCCAAATTCCCATCGTTTTCCTCTTTTCATACGTAGATAGAAAATGTCTCCAGCTTATTAACATCCATCCTGGATGCCTTCGTATCCAGAGAGGACACTGTTGTGATTCAAGCCTTGCTCACCCTCCGAAAACTTGTAGACAAACTGGACAAGGTGACCTACTCCTCGCTGTGCACTAGAATTGCTTCCAGCTACTTCTGTCTGATGGATCATGTGAGTCACACTGTTAGATGCATGAGATCCTTAGGTCTGAGGGTTCAACAGGAGCCCCAGTTGACGCAATGATCTTTTTTTGTTTGTTTGTTTGTTTTCTGGTACCAGGAATTGAACTCACGACCTTGCGCTTGCCAGGCAGGCATTGTGCTGCTGAGCTAAATCCCCAGCCCTGACGCAATGATCTTATTATTTCTGAGAATAAGTTAACAGAGGCCAGATGTTTTCTTCAGAGCTACCCTTGTTTTCCAGAGACGATAATATAGGAGGCTTCTTTTTAAAAACAACATTGACAGTCTGAAAAGTCTGTCAGTGAGAAAGTAGGATCAAAAAACAGCTCCTGTTCTTGGATGAGAGGAATTGTAGCTTAGTGGCTACTTTTTTTTTTTTTTTTTTTTTGTCTTTTTGAGACAGGCTCTCACTATGCAGTTCAGGCTGGCCTTGAGTTCACTTTGTAGTCCAGGCTGGCCTAGAACTTGCAATGATCCTCCTGCCTCAGCCTCCTAAGTGCTGGGATTATAGGCATGTGCCACCACACCCGGCTGGTGGCTACATATTGATCATCTGGACTCTGTAGGTTTACGTTCCCAGTGCTGCTCTCTTGAGCTGTGATGTCATAAGCAAGTTCCTTCTTCAGTTTCGATGCATCAGTTTCCTCATCTGTAGAACTGACAACAGGCAATTCATTATGAGGTTAAGAGTTGATACGTGTGATGCCACAAATAAAATTTTTTTTTTGGTACCAGGAATCAAATTCAAAACCTTGCGCTCGCAAGGGAGGTGCTTGTGCCTCTGTCCCCAGCCCTCTCAAACAAATGTTTATTATTATCATATAAGACTTAAATTCAAAAGTATTTCACTAGAAAGTTGTACCTTTTAAAAATGCTTATTTTATATGATAGACATATTCCAGAAAAGTTGAACAATAGTAATATATTTGGATAAATGTGAACACAGGTATGCCATGGAAAGTCTGTTTTTAAAGAATTCTCTGAGTTGTTTGTGAATCAGAGAATGTTTATAGTAAATTGCTTTGCCAAAAGTTTTAAGTTCTTAATTATTCATATTTTAATAAAGAGGGAACAATATTATTAAGTTACAGAAAAAAAGAGTTTTGTGGCAACATAGTTTTCATAAATACATAATAATAATAGTGACTACAGCCAGGGACATAGTTCAGTGGCACAGGAGCCTGCCTGGCAAGCGCAAGGTGCTGAGTTCAATTCCTGGTACCAAAAGAAAAATTAGTGACTACAGTTTATTGAACATTTACTATATGCCAAGCACTCTTCTAAAGGATTTACATGCTTTATTATGTACAATCATCTAAGCAACTCTATATTAATATCTTGTATAAGGAAATCGAGGTTAACACAGGCAACATTTGGTCATACAGCTGATACATTGGCATGTTTATGTAAAAAAAATTTCATGATGAGATCATAAACATTTTCCTTACAAATAGAAGATACTATATTTTTTAAATGAGTTTCTTCTGCCAGGCATGGTGGCACACACTTCTCATTCTAGCACTGGGGAAACTGAGGCAAGTGGATTGCCGTGAGTTCAAGGCCAGCCTGAGTGAGACCCTGTCTCAAAAAATAAACAAGTAAATAAACCTCTTCCTCTGGCTTGTAATATTCCTCTTCTGCAATCTTTATAGTACAACCCCATCCCATTAGGCAGAAGTAGCCCTTGGAAATCCAATCATACAGCTGCATGCAAAGAGCTCCCAATGGTATTCACTGGCAGTTCTTCAAAGTCCTCTAGCACTTGGACAAAGCATGATGACTTTTCCATAAGTATCTTTATAGAAAGTATCCTCAGATTGTAGGGACTTTTCTAGTTAATATTTTAGGATGTTGTTAAATACTAACCATCTTCCTGAATTTAAGAAACACATTTCACAGGAGTTTTTTTAATGCAATATAAATTTTGTAAGTAAATCTTTAGCTGGTTGCAGTATTTTCCCAGCTTCTTTACAGTATAATTTACAGCTTAAAAATTCTCAGGGCTAGGGATTTAGCTCAGTGGCACAGCGCCTGCCTGGCAAGTGCGACGTCGTGAGTTTGATTCCTGGTACCGAAAAAAAAAAAATCTCTATGTTATTGTTGTCCAGTTTGATGTCTTAATGTATGTATGCATCATGAAATGATAGGCTCACACTAATTAATATATCCATCACCTCATGTGTCATAATATGTCACGTTTGTGGTGACAACATTTAAGATCTAATTTCCTAGCAATTTTCAAGTACAAATGACTTTACCACTAGCTATAGCCAGGGATACAGCTCAGTGGCACAAGCACCCGCCTAGCAAGCATAAGGTCCTGAGTTTGATTCCCGGTACCAATAAATAAATAAATAAATAAATAAAATAAACTGCAAACTATAGTCACCGTGCTCTACACCAGATCCCCAAAATTTACCCATTCTAGCTGAAACTGCGTATACTAAAATCAACCGCTCCTCCATTCCTCCATCTCCAGGCCCTGGCAAACGTGGTTCTACTCTGTGCTTCTGCCAGTTCAATTAAAAAAAAAAAAAAAAAGGTTGTGCATATAAGTTAGATCATGCAGTATTTCTCTATGCTTGGCTGATTTTACTTACCATAATGCTTTCCACTTAGCATAAACTCTCTCCTGGGATTTTCTTCTTTATTATGACTAGAAGGATTTGTGTGTGTGTGTTCTTTACCCATTCTTACACTAATGAGCACATAGGTCAATTTTTTTTTTTTTACATAGGTCAATTTTATATTGTCCCTATTATGAATAATGGGTAAGCAAATATGATGTTTTTTTGGTTTGGTTTGGTTTGGTTTGGTTTGGTTTGATTTTTGTCTTTTTGAGACAGGGTGTTGCTATACAGTTCAGGCTGGCCTTGAACTCACTTTGTAGCCCAGGCTGGACTCGAACTCACAATGATCCTTCTGCCTCAGCCTCCCATGTGCTGGGATTACAGGCGTGCGCCACCATGCCTGGTGCAAATATGATGTTAAAATCAAAAGAAAAGGGCCGGGGATATAGCTCAGCGGCACAAGCACCAGCCTGGCAAGCGCGAGGTCATAAGTTTGATTCCTGGTACAAAAAAAAAAAAATCAAAAGAAGAGCTGACTACTTAGACCCAATCTCTCCTAAAAATAAATGATAATTTCACACATATGTGTGCATAGAGATATGCAGTATATGTACTTATATGATATATATTCTGATATTATTCTCATGGGAGGTCTTTTTCTTTTCTGTGGACACACTGCAGTTTTCTGGGAGTGTCCGGAGCTTGGCTATCAGGCACTTGGCGGACTTACTCAAGGACGTGGGTCAGCAAACATCAACTCTCAAACACATCATGAGAGGACTCGCACCCCTCCTTCTCTGTCTGGAGGACAGCGATGGTAGAGTAGTGAGTGTAAGTACAAGCAAGTGAAAGTAAAGGCCTTTGCTCATGCATTTCTTAATTTTGCAGACGATCACAATGTTTAATGTCACAGCAGACAAACAGATCCTCACCGTCCTTATCCTGTCTCTCAGGCATGTAAATATACATTAAAAATCTGTGACTCCGAACTAGAATGGTCAATAGCAAATCTGCTTAAAGATGAAAATTACAATTTTGAGCTGGTAGTTCTCTACACCTGCAACCATCTGGTAAGTAGCCCTTCCATGTTCACTACCAAGAATTAAAGACAAAATGTAAAGGGTATCCGACGTGACAGAAGGGGGTAGAGGAAAGGTTGATTTAGGGAAAGAATGTGAATAAGATGTGAGATTACAGCCAGGGACTGAGCTGAGAAAAAAAAATTAGAATTCTTCACTTCTTCATCCACTTTGATCATCCAGCTTGCCCTCTTCCTCCAGAAAATGAGGGAGGAAGAGTACGGACGGCAGCCGGGCGTGGTGGCACACACCTGTAATCCCAGCACTCAGGAGGCTGAGGCAGAAGGATGGTTGAGAGTTTGAGAGCAGCCTGGGCTACAAAGTGAGCTCAAGGCCAGCCTGAACTGCATAGCGAGACCCTGTCTCAAAAAGACCAAAAAAAAAAAAAGAAAGAAAAAAGAAAAAAAAAGAAAGAAAGCTGACTGCAAGTTGAAACCAAAGTTGAACTGGGAAGGTGAAGTTGAGTCTGGGAATAACAAGCTACTTCTGCAAGCAGCCAGAAGAGCAGAGTTCATGTGTAAAAATCCCCAAGTTTTTAATTGGTCCTGATTTTGTATAAGCAGTCAGGTTATTATGTCTTGAAGCTTCCCTGGAGAAATCATATGCATTGTTTCACCAGTTTAGAGAGGCATTTTCTTTCCCTTTTATCCCCAGATCCTTTCTCACGAGAGTTGCACTACGTATTTAATATGTGATGCCTTACGGTTCCTGGGGAATCCCCAGGTGCATCTGAGGAGAGCAGCAGTTATTTTACTAGGTAAGTATACTTAATTCTTACTTCTTAATTTACCTTTAAAGGTACAGAATAGCAGCTAGGAGTCTTTATTAACAGTGTATAGAGCCAGGTGAGGTGGCCATGCCTGTAATCCCAGCACTCAAAAGGCTTGAGGCAGGAGAATCACCTAGAGTTCAAGGCCAGCCTGGGTTACACAATGAGTCCAGGCCAGCCTGAACTACATAGTGAGACCCTGTCTCAAAAAAATTATAAACTGCCTTTGTTCATGATGGACATCACCTGTCATGAAATTAATATGTGTGATGAGAATAGAATTCTATTTTATAATACAAAGTGTATCTGTAAAATTAAATTATTACCTAAAATGTGCTCAGCAAGATGGATTTCTAATTAGCATGTCACAGCTCATCTTTCCCCTTCACTTTTTAAAAATCACTCTCCAAGGGATAAAACAATTTAAAAATACAAACACCTTCTTCAACAAAATTGGAAAATCTATGACCATAAACTACAGTACAACAAATGAAGAAGAGCTACAAAATCCGGTAAAATTTAAAAACAAGACAAAACAGAGACAGGAGGAGTCAAGGAAGATTAAGGGAAGGCGACTAAAGATGTGATCTCCATCTCACACAGACCTGATACAGGTATTTTTCCCATGAGCTGCGCACCGTGAAGATCAACACTAATAATCCCTTGGGTTGGCCTTCCGGCTGGGTCGCGGGCTCCCAGCGAGGCAGTAGGCTTTTCCTGGACCCTCTTTGGCACCACCGACTAACAGGAGCAGCCGAAGTGGAAGTCCACACGCACGCCCCTCCACACAGAGCGGTCTGGCAGAAGGGCAAGGACAGCGGGCACCGGGCTCTGACCGTGTTCGTGGGAGGGGTTCGAAGGATCATACGTGCACACTCAGACAGAAAAGCCCGGCTCGTGAGAACTTTATTTCAGACCAGTAACAATTCCTGCTGTCCTCAAATCTACCCTGGAGCTTTTCAAAACTTCTGAACATAACAACTGAGATCCAAAATTAAGTGATTCTTTTTTTAAAAAAAACAAAGGAAACAGCATTTTCTCACTATAGAGATACTTCAAGGGGAAAAAAAGGAAAACCAAGTTCAGAAAGTGTTTCTACAGAGCAGAGGAACTTCATCGTAAATATTTTCCATGAACCCAGGACTTTTAGAAATAAAGATTAAGAAGCAGTGGTGGCAAACCTATGGCACGCATGCTGCAGCCGGCCATTTGTTAGTATCAAACGCTCTAAAAGGTTCGCCATCATTGATATAAAGCATGTGCAAGAACACAGGGGATGTGCGGCAGGGCAGAGGAGTACATGAGAAATAAGCTTCCAAAGTCGAGCGGGAAGTGTGAGAAGAGATTTGGAGCCAGCGCAGAAAAGGACAACTGTGTTTCAACCAAGAAAAGAGACAAGGAATACAAAGGTAAGAAACTTTTTTTTTAAAATCAGTACTGGGGATTGAACCCAGCACCTTCACTACATTCCCAGCCTCCATTGTTGTTTTTTTCTTGTCTTGACATGCTCTCACTCAGTCACCTCATTTCCTAGGCTGGGCTTGAACTTGCAATCCTCCTGCCTCAGCCTCCCAGGGTACTGGAATGATAGATGTCCACCACCACACCACACCTGGCAAAGGTGAGAAATACTAGCAAAGTGAAATGAAAATCAGCAAGGAACAGTTTTAAAAATTAACCAGTAATGATAGAGAGATAAAAAAAAAAAAAGAATGGACATAAACGATACTGTTGCTGAAGAAGAGAAATAATTACAACTAGAAAGTACTCACCGATGTAATTTAACAAATGAGAAAAGACATACATTGAGAGGATGAATCATTTTTTACAAATCATTTATACAGAGTGCAACATAAGGCATTTCCTAATTATTCACCTCAGAGTTTAAGAAGTGTTTTGAGCATGGAGGGGTGGCTATAAATTTGAAAAAGTTTGGCACTAGACTCCAATTGAATATTCAACATAAATGAAAATAGAATACTGTCAACAAAACCCAGACTGGGGAGAAAATTGTGACTTATCCAACTATGAAGCAACTACAAAAACATTTTCAAAAACAAAAGAAGTCAGGGAAGAATTATGATTCGTTCTTAAAGAAATTATGAAAGGACTGAATTCATCCAGTTAAAGAACAAGTGAATGAACTATTATTAAAAAGCCACAAGTGTGTACTTAAGTGTAGGACCCAGTCTACTCTCTACTTTGGCTTTTTTGTTTTTGATTTTCTCTATGCCCTAGTCCGCCCTCTTGAGGGCCTCCCTGCCACAAACCCCTCGGCCACCTTGCCTCCAGCAGGGGGCAGCACTAAACGCTCATTAAGGCATTCACCAGGCTTAATATTCAGTAGTAAGGATGACAGTGCCAGCCACAAAAAAGCTGTCCCATCTGGAATCTTTACTGAGCCCCTGTTAAGAAATACTGATCATCAGAGTCAATGCAAGTGAACTGAATATATCTGCAGCTAATCCCACTGATCTTGACTAGCTGATTCTAAATGTAGCTGGGTGTGGTGGCACATACCTGTGATCCCAGCACTGAGGCTGAGGCAGGAATGTGAGTTCAAGGCCAGCCGGGGCTAATAGTGAGTGCAAGGCCAACCTGGACTACATAGTAAGACATTGTTTCCAAAAAATTAAAAAATAAAAAAGAGGAGGAGGATTCTAAAGTTTTTTTGTTTTTCTTCCGGTACCAGGAATCGAACTCATGACCTTATGCTTGCCAGGCAGGTGCTGTGCCACTGAGCTAAATCTCCAGCCCCTCTAAATGTATTTGGAAGAGCAAAAGCCCAAGATACTCTTGGCAGGAGGAGTAGCTACTAATTCCACCACATATAAAAATTTCTTATCGAGCTGTAGAACTTTAGACAGTCTGTTACTCAAGGAAACATGAGCAGACCTGTGGAAGAGTATACAAGGCCTAGAAACAGACCCACCCGTATATATAAAATATAATCAGAACTAGGGGGGATCTGTCAGATCAGAAAATGATAGGCTGCCAGGCATGGTGGCGCACACCTGTAATCCCAGTACCCTGGAGGCTGAGGCAGGAGGATCATTGCAAGTTCGAGACCAGCCTGGGCTACAAAGTGAGCTCAAGACCAGCCTGAACTGCATAGCGAGACCCTGTCTCAAAAAGACCAAAAAAAAAAAAAAAGAAAGAAAGAAAGAAAGAAAGAAAGAAAGAAAAAGGTGGTAACTGGCACAAGGTGACTCCGAAAAGGATATCTAAATGGCCAATAAACATATCAAGAGGTATGTGACTCCATCAGTCACAATGAAAAAGCAAAGTAAAAACCACAATAAGATACCATTATGAATCCAACAGAATGTCTACAGTAGAGACCGACAGTACCACGTGCTGTCAAGGATTTGGGGCAATCAGAACTCTCTTACACGCGTTGGAAATGAAAATCCAGAAGCCACTCTGGAAAACAACTGTATCTGTTAAAGCTGGTACACACATATCCTATGGAGCAGGAATTTTGCATGAAAACTAACAGAAGCGTGTGTTCACAAAGGCTACAAGCTGTAATATTCAAAGCAGCACTGTTGATCATACTTAAACCCTGCAGGTCGACAATTAAAGGACTGCAATGTACGCAATAGTTTCACACAATGAAGAGCTCCAAAGCAGTGAAGGAAAAAAAATCTACAGACACTTGGCAATGATGTGAATGAGCCTTACAGACTATGCTGAGCGAGAGAAGCCACTCACAAAAAGCGTATGTTGTACGATTCTATGGATAGAAAACACAAAAATAGCTAGAACTAACCAGTGGTATTACTACTCAGGATAGATAAATGGAAGGAAATATCCCAAAATAACCTCTAAGTTATGCAATAGTTTAGAAGGTGAATCTTGGGCTTTAATTAGCAGCACTGAAAATATGGACGACTCTTTAAATGGTGTGAGGGTACCTGGTCAGCCACCTGAAATACTAAAAAAAGTTATTCCTTTGTTTTTACTCCTCACAGAAGATAAATTCCAGGTGTTCAAAGATTCAAATACTAAAAATGAAGCCATAATTATCAATACAAGTAGCTAAAATAACATGGAGCATCTACTTTGTGATCACCGAACAGGGAAGACCTTTACTAAATAAAATCAAAATCCAGTGCCATAAAGGAAAGAGTGACAACCACGTAAAAACTAAACATTTTTTGACGGTAAAACACCTATGAACAAAGTTAAAAACCAAACTGAGTTGAAATATCTACACTTATCACTGATAGAAGGCTGAAGGCTCATCATCTGAAGAATCCTTACAAATCCGCAAGACAGATCAACCCAGCAGAAAAGTGGGCAAGAACAAAAAAAAATTTTTGTTTCTTAAATATAAAATCTTCGCAACTTCATACAAAAAACGATGCAAATTAAAACGCTGCAGTGTTCCTGCCCGGCCTCCCCTTCCCGCAGGGCTCGGGGCTCGCACCTCGGCGACGCCCCCGCGCGGCGACCGGGTCCTGGGTCCTCAACAGCCGCGATCGTATCCTGGCGATGGAGGGCGGGGTCTAAGGTCGGACCCGGAGGCGAGGAGACCCCCGACAGCGCCACCTGCAGGACGATCTGGGAGCTTCCCACGGTTCCCTCCCCGGCAGCCTCTAGCCCCAGGCCCGGAGACGCCGGGCTGAGTCTGTGCTTGAGACGCATGGCTTTCGCAAGAGCTGCGCCGCTGGTCTCTGGTCACATTTCCAGACCAACCCCGCCTCTGCTCACTCCTCTCTGGGACAGAAACCTCTTGCTTCTCTGGTGGGGAAGTCTGTGCATAACTGGAAGGTTCTGACTCAGGAGTCCAGATCTGGGCGCACCTTAAAAGGTGTATGCAATCAGGGCAGGGAGGTTTGCATCATTCTTGGGGCTGCCGTTTGGCTGGTTTGGTTTGGTTTGGTTTGGTTTGGTTTGGTTTGGTTTGGTTTGGTTTGGTTTGGTTTCGCTTTTGAGACAGGGTCTCACTTCGTAGTTCAGGCTGGCCTTGAACTCAATATGTTGCACAGCTGGCTTCCAACTCATGATCCTCCTGCCTCAGGCTCCCAAGTGCTGGGATTCCAGGTGTGCACCACACACCTAGTATTTTTCCCCCTCTTTTTTCTTGAATAACACTCAAGAGTATGTCACCGTCCAGCAGGCTGCAGTCCAGGGAGGGAACAATTTCTCTCCTGATAAACACCAAGATACTTTAACTAAAGCAAACAGGTAGTGGAGATTTATCAGGAGAAAGAAAACCTGTTTCTGGCAGCGCCTCTCCGGGTAAGAAAGGCACCTGCACCCCTCATAGCCTTTCACGTTTGTTCAGTTGTGGCAATGCCCGTGACCTTGGACTGAATTTCTGAGCAGATGCTAACGTTGCAGTGCACAGCAAGGGGCCTGGCACAAAGTAGGTGCTTAGCCAGGCATGGTGGCGCAGTCCAGTAATCCCAGCACTTGGAAGGCTGAGGCAGGGGGATTGCTGCAAGGTTGAGGCCAGCCTGGGCTACACAGTGAATCCAAGGCCAGCCTAAACTACACAGCAACAACAACAACACAAAAGTGCTTAATATTTATTCAAGTAAATGTATTTTTAAAAAGATGAAATGTTTCTGTCCATGAAGTTGATGAAAACCAAAAGATTTACACTGTACAGGTCTGACTGGGCAGGAAGAGGGCAGTTGCACTGGTGGTGACACTCTCAGTGGTCACTGCCTCTAAGAGGGACAGTTTGGTCACATACATCCAAATGCGGAATGCATATTTTTGATTCAGCAGTTTCCTTTCAAGAGAATTGACCCTCAGACGCATTGGCACATATGAGAAATACAGCCTGTGTGGAGGTCTGCGTTGCCCAGCTGCACGCTGCCGTCTGCCCTGCACCTGTGGCTGTTACACTCTTTTGTTTTTTCTCTAGCATGTCAGCAGGGCTACAACAAGGAAAAAACAGAGAAAGTAAAGGGCAGTAATCGCAGCACTGTGGGAGGCTGAGGCAGGAGGATCGCAAGTTAGCCTGGGCCGCTTAGTGAGACCCTGTCTCTATGTTAAAAAAAGTGAGAGGGCTGGGGATGTAGCTCAGTGCAAAGGCCTTGAGTTCAATCCCCTGTACCAACAAAGTGAAAGAAGGTGAAGGCAAAATGTGTTTTCTAACTGGGTCAGCTCAATTTTATGAAGCATCCTTCAAAGTCCCAAAGAGCAATTTATCCTACAGACCCAGTGACCAGAACTGTGACAGCATTGCCATTTATTCTGGAGATGCTTAAGAATAGCTTTTTTGTTTTTGGGGGGGTTTTTTTGGGTTTTTTTACATGGGCCAAAAGAAAGCAACGATATTGGAGTGACCACTAGCGGTGGGTGACAATTGCCAACATTTAAAACTTGAGAGCTAGAGCCAGGCATGGTGGAGCATGCCTGTAATCCCAGCACTCAGGAGGCTGAGGCAGGAGGATCATTGTGAGTTCCAGACCAACCTGGGCTACAAAGTGAGCTCGAGGCCAGCCTGAACTGCATAGCGAGACCTTGTCTCAAAAAGACCAAAATAAATGAATAAATAAAAACTTGAGTGCTAACATCTAAGCACCTGGGGTCTCAATTACTTATTTGGGGGGGATGAATGTGAGCTGCACTGCCCGGAAGCCACACTTGCACCTGCTGTGAGAGGGCGACCCCTGGCCTACGTGTGGGTGGAGTCTCCCTCCCGGCCGCCGGTCCGTGCCTTTCCTCCCGCCGGGGTCCCTTGCTGATCCCTTGGACCTCCTTGACATTTATTTGAAAGTTCATTTCTGACTTTCACAAACATAACTTCAGTAGAGCCTTTTCATTTGGGGCATTTTGTCTAATTTTTTCCCGTTTTTTTTTTTTCTTCGTTGGCAATATTGTGCTTATTAAAAAATTCCTGCAGTGATGAGAACGTGTGTTGTGTTTGAATTTGAGGAAGGCTTAATTAATAGAGGGGCACCGTACGAAAGTGGGAGCAGAGTAGGAAACCCCACGGGCAGAGCAGGTACGGCAGGGGGGAGCGGACCCCTACGGGAGGGAAGAGCAGTCTAGAGAGAGGAAGTGAGCTCGGGCACAGGGAAGGAGCCAGGCTGCAGCAACCCCACAGACGTCCCTGACCGCTGTTCTCTGCCCTCAGCTCTGGACACTGTCCACACAGGCGGCCTGCGGGGTCCCAGAGCAGGGCCAAGAAGGGTACGGGTGGGCCGGAGGGGCAGAGACTCCTAGTGCAGCCATCCCTGCAGCTTGGGAAGCCAGACGCTGCCCTCCTGCCGCGCGGTTAGGCTGGGCCTTTCTCCTCCGTGTACTTCTCTCTCCCCATCTGAACCTTTGCGGGCCTGCTTGTCTTACCGTGGGTCTGCAAGGGGACGACTGGCCGGAATTCTGCTCCTGGCTGAGCTCCCTCCTAGGGATCTGTGCAACCTGTAGCCCTGGCTTCACTTCCAGGGCAAACTGGAGCTGGGTGCAGAAGGCTGGGCCAGATGCCACGCCGAGTCCAGGCAGCTGTCCCTGGGAATCCTCCCTAAGAACAGCACAAGCAGCCAGGACAGCACTGGACAGCGACCTTTTAAACCTGCAGTTAGCTGGCCCCATCTGCGGTGACAAGCCCTCTGTCCAGCCCTGCTCTGTGCCACATCCTGGGGCTGTAGGAGCCCATGCAGGATGACTTAACCTTTGGTCTGACCTTGGCCTTATGTGCTAGAGAAAATGATTCGCTCCTCTCATGACCCCAAGAGTTACAGCCTGGTCCTCGGTACACAAGAGTCCAGCCCGGTCCTTTCCCTGGACAGCTGGCTTCTCGCTGCTGCTGAGGACGGCCCCCACCCCCATGTCTCTCCTCCCTGGTCACCTGTGCATGGGGCGAGGTGCGAGTCAGCACTCGGAGCCTTGTTCCCGGTGAGCTGAGCTCATCCCTGCCTGGGGCTCCCCCCGCCCCTTCAGGTGTGTGCGCTGGTGAAGCCGAAGCAGACCAGCTAGCTGGGGGCAGGCATGGGGAGTTTCTCAAGGTGTATTAATCACTGAAGGGGCCTTTGAAAATTGTTAAATGTGACTGGATTTCCTGCCTTCAAGAAAACATAACTATTATCTTAAGTGGTAAATCCAGACCTTGTCAAGATGTACATTGTGACCCTTCTGGTACACCTTCCACCCTGCTGGCTTCCTAAGAACTGGCACCAAGCCCCTTGACATTAGTCAGAAAGAGCAGAGTCCTTTCATGTTTTCTGTGAAGTATGTACCCGAATCCTCCCCAAGTTCTGACGCGTGTCGTACCCCGTCACTTTGTGATTAGGCCGGATAATCTCCCTGCACCTGGCAAGGCTCTGTATGCCAGCCAAGGCCCAGCACACTCCAGCACTGCCTCTGTCTGTCCTTGTGCATACCTTGCAGGACGGCGCAGAGGGTCGATCTCCTGAGAAGCCCGCTCCGCTCTGCCTCTGTAACTGCACACTACCGATGAAACCGCCTCTGCTGAGCAAGACAGAGAGACAGAGAGGATTTATGAGAATATAGTTTCATGATGTAGTTTGTAGTAACTTTAGTTTTACTTTGTATATAGGTTACTTGGCGCAATTGGGTGGACATTTATTATTCAAAGATGAAATTGAAGTTATGACTGAAGGTAAGTGTCAAAGTTATAATAAAATCTTCATGCAGAGGAGGGAGTTGAAGAAGGGTAATATTATTCTAGGAAGATGTTTGGATTTTAGGCACCTCTCTCTCTCTCTCTCTCCCCTTGTGCATTGCCTCATCAGAGTCAGAATTCCAAAAAGTGAGCCGGGTGTGGTAGCACATGCTTGTAATCCCAGCACTCAGGAGGCTGAGGCAGGAGGATCACTGTGAGTTCAAGGCCAGCCTGCTACATAGTGAACTCAAGGCCAGCCTAAACTACACAGTGAGACCTTGTCTTAAAAAAAAAAAGAATTCCAAAAAATGAGATGAAAAATAGGATGGATGCCTTCCTGCCTTCCTTTCCCCCGCCCCCTTAACTAGGCTTTTTCAGAGCAGTTTGGGCTCACAGTGAAAAGGAGCTGGAGGTACAGAGATTCCCTAGCTGTCCTCCCCCGACTCCTGCGGCCTCTCCTCCATGTCAGCGTCTCCGCAAAGTGCTGCCCTCGTGGCCCCGCTTCTCTCCTGCTCTGCTGCCCTGCCCTTCTTCCTCCTGCCCTCGTTCGTTCACACAGCACATCCACTGCCTGCCAAAGCCCAAGCACTGCGGTTTTCCCCAATTCTTCTCTTTTTTTGTCTTTTCTTCTTCCCTTCTCTGTTCCTTCTCCTTTTTCTTTTCTAAATGCCCCTCTATATCTTGTTTCTTTCATGAAGAAATAAAATAATTTTTCATGGACCATTATCTGGATACAATTACATTGGCATTGTATTATCCCATATTTTCCAAAATAATAGAGGCTACTACATATTTGTCTTTTTAAGACAGATATACAGGGGCTGGGGATTAGCTCAGTGGCACACCGCCTGCCTGGCAAGCACAAGGTCGTGAGTTTGATTCCTGGTACCGGAAAAAAAACAACAAAAAGGCAGATATACATATTATATATATTATGTATAATATTTATATATAATATATATTATATATATATATTTTTTGAGACAGGGTCTCGCTATGTAGTTCAGGCTGGCCTTGAACTCACTATGTAGCCTGGGCTGGCCTCAAACCTGTGGCAATCCTCCTGCCTCAGCCTCCCAAGTGCTAGGATTAGAGGTGTGGGCCACCACACCTGGTCATATTTGTCTTTCTAAATGATCATAACTGCTTTATAACTTTTTCACCTCCTCATATGTCATAAGCATCTTTCTATGCCAAGGACTGTGTCTACCTTATCATGTTAAAACGTGTGTGCTAACTGAGGATTGAACCCAGTACCTTCACAGTGAGCT